AATTTAAAAAGTAAAACTTACACCTGAGGCATTGACAACCCACCCACAGTGGGATCCCGCCGGGAAGGCGGAATCGCCGGGATACGCATTCACTCTAACAGAACTCTTCGTTCTTGTTCTTGTCCTTGCTCTAGTTTTTGTCCTAGTTCTTGTTCTTGTTCTTGCTCTCTTCCTTCTTTTTTTTCTTTCTTTCCTTCTCTCTTTCTTTCTTTTTTCCCTTTTTTTTCTTTCGTTCTTTCTCCTCCTCCTCCTCCTCCTCCTCCTCCTCCTCCTCCTCCTCCTCCTTCCTCCTCATCCTCCTCCTCCTCCTCCTCCTCCTCCTCCTCCTCCTTCTCCTTCTTCTTCTTCTTCTTCTTCTTCTTCTTCTTCTTCTTCTTCTTCTTCTTCTTCTTCTTCTTCTTCTTCTTCTTCTTCGGCTCACCAAAAACTCAGTTGGAATTCCTTGGGATACAATGCGGGTGACCCCCCTTCGAACTCTCAAAGGAGGAATCTGGATCTTACGTAGCTTTCATGGTTCTTCATCCTCTTTGGCTCGTGCTACTGGAAAGGGAAGTTTTTAAAAGTTTTAGTAAGGTTTTACGACGCTCGCAACTGCAAAGATCATGTGAGCGCCAAGGGGTGGATGTCAACAGAGAAGTCTAAACAGGGAATCAGGCTTACTCTACTCCCTTCTCTAGCCTCAACTGCACAAAGTCTGCTTCAACTATCAAGGCACCCTGGAAATAACAGTTCACAAGAGAGTGACAAACATACAAAAGAAGTAGAAGAAGAATGACGACAGGAAGGATGAGGAAAGAAAAAGCAGCAGTTCTTCCTATGTTTTTTCGACACAGTATGAGCATGACATTGATAAATCGGCCCATAATGAATATAACACATGCATAATCTACTGCTCTCTACTCTGTGGCATGACATTTAGTCAATAATATTTACCTTGTACAAAATGTATTGAGGTAAATTGGCTCCTCGTTTTGGAAAAAACGTTTAAGCCTAGAGTGCGGTCCACAGAGCTGGTTGTCCTTCCTTGGTTTTAGTAAAGAGAAGCACATCGACTCGAAAAGAGAAAAAAAATAGAACCCTAAACACACAGAAATAATAAATGAAGAGCAAAACATTACTTGGACATACCATTGGGGTCCTCAAACTGGATTCTCTTACTACACCAGCTATAAGGCTTGGGCAATTCCAGAACAAGGACGGGCAAACATTTCAAAAAATCTCGAAGGTCCTGTGAGCACGTTGTGCATATTAAAAATTTAGTTTGTATTTGAAAATCGTCGAAGAATATGCCTCCGGGAAAACATTAAAAAATTAAAATCTCCGTACCGCAAAGATAATCTTTATTACACTTGTAAAATAGTAAGACTAGACTCTTACATTTTGCTTTTCGCTTGATTTCAAGCGCATTGATGATAATTTGCTTAGGAGCGTATCAAGGAACTCAAGATCTGAAGGGAGGGATGTCTATACCCAGGCAAAGCTGTATCACGCATGCTGCTTTCAGATTGCCTGTACTGTAAAGACGCAAAGAGTCTTATTAATAGAAATATAAGACCAGGAGTAAGAGTTAATGTACACGGTTGTGGCAGTATTATCAAAATTCGCCGTTAAAGAAAAATCTATATTTAACGGCGTACCCCGGCAGTAATAACGGAAGAAAATGATCATAGCTCTGCATAATAATTTAACAAGATGGTTCTCTTTCTATAACAAGTTGTTTTGCAATCTTAGTGCAATAATATGTAACCGTTGACACTGAAAGAAACATTTTGTTTGGTTCTTGTGTAAAGAAACAATAAGACGTTCTTTGCATTCAAGAAAAGTCACTCCCTAAAATAGATCTTGCATTTTGGTACCATAGAATTACCAAGTTCTAACTGCTCAGTACCAACTTTTGAGAAATTTAAAGTTAAAATTTGAGTTTCACAAAATGTCAAGCTTTTTCAAATGGAGTTCTATGAATATCTTGATAACGACTCCGAACAATCCTATGATTTTGATAGAGTAGACAGAACACTTGGTTTCTGACCTTATGGTCTTTGTAACTCAATACGGCCAAACAATGTCAGATAAAACTTTGTAATTCTAGGGTAGCGATTTGTTGCGTAATAAGGTAGATAAGTTTTTGGGACCGTTTTTGTGAGGGGTTTTTAAATGCTTAAATAGAGGGGTGGTTTGTCTAATGAGATGCAATCTTTGATCTGCGGCAGATTGATAACAATTGATTACATTTATATAGTGCCGTTCCACGTTGTGAACGCTCCTTTTGCTTTAAAGCGCATCTAATTTACCTGTGGGTGTGTGCAGTGGTCAGGCTCGTTGCCACCGCACCCAGAAGACGCACGTTCCATTCCCAAGTGGGGACATTATTCTATCGATTATCTTCGTCTGTCTATTGCGATTGTGCTTCCTACTTAGCCTGGATTGGACCTTACAGACATGAGTGAAATCAATCTCTCTCTCTCTCTCTCTCTCTCTCTCTCTCTCTCTCTCTCTCTCTCTCT